CGCCTGCAAAGTTTAATTTTTTCATGCCGGCATTTGAGAGTTTCTCGAGAACATGCTTTGAAGATTCTAATTTAGGGATAGCAGAATTTTTTGCTGTATGAAAGCAGAATCCACATTCATAATTGCATTTTCGAGTAAAATGAAAATTCACTGATATTGGTATTATTTCTTTATTTGACGCGGTTAATTTGAAAATGGATCGCAATTTGGCTAAGGTGGTTAAAAGTACCGTTAAAAAGATTATAATCCAAAACATTTTCTCGATTATACAATTTTCTTTGAAAATATCTATAGTGACGGATAAAAATCTTTCATTTTTATATTTGAAATTGCTTATATTAAACATAATATACTTCCGGATTATCTGGTAATGTGTCTCATTGTGCATTTGCTTTTTAGTTACGTGCACTATGACGTCCTGTATTTCGAAGACTTCATATGACAGGTTGGCGTGGGTGTTTTTACTGTCACGCGAGATAAGTTATTTAGACTATTCGAAACGCCAAAGAAAGTTTGATTGAGTCCAATCCTGGTTTTGTTTTGTAAATTTATTGTTTATCCGGAACGAACACGAAATTTTGTGACAAAATTTGTTTCCAATTATGGACACAAAGCAATCTGTACGCCGAAGGTCCAGCACCAGCAAATGAAGATCATAAATGCATAAATTTAGAATCAATGACTAATATGTTAGTAAAAAAATATAGAGGGAAAGTCGCGTCATGTCATCCGAATATATCACATGATAATACGATTGCGAAACAACTAGAGTTAAACAAAATTAAAACATATACAATCAAACTTCTTTATGACGAACCTAATGTTTTTCCAAAAAAAAAAATTCGATTACTATTCGTCATAAACCGGTTTTTTACAACCAGGTTTGACTATAATAATTAATAAGGAAGAATAGATTTATTTTTTATTGTTATTAAGTATAGTTTGATTAAATGTTATTAGAATTCAGTACAGTATCTATATATTAAAAATTGAGCGATCTAGCTGTGGCGCAGGTGGCACATATCCTTTGCTATACACGTCTTACAGTATATACAAATATTTCGGTCGTGTAATCGTAAGTCTAATCGTATCGTCTATTATTAATTTAAAATTCAAATGATATAAAAAGACACTTAAATAAAATTATATTTATTACATTAAAATTTATTCCATCATATCAATTTGAACCAAAGCTAATTTGCATATTAATTGGTTTTTGATTTAAAACTTTAATTATTATATTATATTTAATTATTTGAATTTTAACAAAATTTAGTTAGATTGCATAAAGATAAGATCTTAGGTTTTTTTAATAATTATAAACTGAAATCAATTAAAACAAAAAAGATTATACAAGAAATTTTTCTAATTTAACTAAAAATAGATTTTTAAATTAAAGGTAAAAATATAATTAAAATGACTTTTAATATTAAAAAAAAATTTTTTTAAATATAAAGTCAAAAAAAAAATACTTATAAAATTTTTTTACAATTTAAGTTACTTGATTTGTAAAATTTTATATGCTAAATAATTTAGGAATTCATCCTTAGCCATATTATAATAACAAGTTGATTTCTGGATTTAGTATTTACAAAAACCAATTCTTTCAATCATGTCACAATTATTTATATAGTAAGTATACATATTGAATTTAATATAACTAATAGTTAATCATTATTTATTTATTTTTTCTTTTTTTACAAAAGTTTTTAGAGTTTATATGTGTCATCTTAATTTTTAATAATTTATTTTGTAAAGATTTTTAATCACCTTTTATTTGGAATAGAATCCATATCTTGTAAATAAAGAAAGTTTAACAAAAACCTTGCATTACAATACTTATCAAAAAAAAAATTAATAATAATAAATAAAAAAATAAAAAAATTTTAATTTATAATTTTAATTTTATTAAAAGACTTAGGATTTTTTTTAATTTTATTTAATAAACAAACAATTCTTTACTCTTTATAAATTATATTTAAAAACCTTATATTCTTGATAGGTATAAAATGATTTATGATTTTGATAACTTTAATTTTTTTGTTTAATAAATAATTTATACAGTGTATTCTAGATTCGAGTAACAAATGATATGAAAATTTATCTCTGATTGTGTAACTCAAGATAAAAATTTTGGTTTTTTTTTTTTTCGAAATCTTCTTCAATAAAATTAAATCCACATGGTTCACAAGAGTAAGCTTTTAATATGTGAATAATGCCTTTTTCGGATCCTAATGATTATGGAAGAGTTGGCCAAAATTTTATATTCTTAATTTAGAAACTCAAAGCAAGCGCATGACATGCGCGAAGCGTTATAAAATCGAACGAAAGGTCGCCGAACATCGACGTAAAGAAAAAAAAAAGGCGAAAAATAATCCTCACAAGAGTAGTAAATTTTTTTGAGTCGTATTTGGGTTGAAATATTCATTCAAACGATTTATCCCTAAAAAAAAATTTTTGGTTTGATCGATCAGAGTTAAGAAAGGATCCTGGCATACCAAGCTTATGGCCATTCAAAGGACAATTATTAAGCAAAATTGAGGAACAAAAAAGAAAGGTATTTTCCGATGGCTTTGAGAGCCCGATTAGTATATTTTATGTAAATTCGCTAACATTGTGGTTATCCTGATATAAGGTTGAAGAAGAAAAAAAAAGACAAAAAGAAGATCGTCATAAGCAATTTGATAAGAACCGAAACCTTAATTTCTCATCTCTCGCGAAAGATGCGTCTGAACGAAGCGAAGCCTTTGAGCAAAACGCGAGTTCCGAAGATGAAGAAGGTTTATCTAAGGTGGTCGATGCAGCCGCTGTTGGTCACAAAGATAATTCACGCAAAGCATATTACAAGGAGTTTCGCAAGGTCATCGAAGCTGCCGATGTGATTTTGGAAATATTGGATGCACGTGATCCGCTAGGCTGCAGGACCAAACAAGTCGAGAAGATGATCAACTCCAGTGGATCTTCAAAGCGAATAATATTGATACTTAACAAAATTGGTAAAATTAACCACCATTGATTTTATAATTTTACGTTCATCTAATTATAGTGATATCTACAATTTTCAGACCTCATTCCCAGAGAGAATGTTATGCAATGGCTTTCGTATCTTCGTAGGGAATATCCAACAGTTGCTTTCAAATCGTCAACACAAATTCAGCGTAAAAATCTTGGTCATGCAGCTGGATCTATCGTCACGGCATCAAATAACATTTTGAATGGTAATGAGTGCTTAGGTGCCGATATGTTGATCAAACTTCTTAAAAATTACTCTCGAAATTGCAATATCAAAACTTCCATCACCGTCGGAATAATTGGCTTTCCTAATGTCGGAAAATCGTCTGTGATCAATTCATTGAAACGATCTAGAGTTTGTGGGGTCGGTGCCACGCCAGGTTTAACAAAGTCAGCCCAGGAAATTCATCTAGACAAAAATATAAAACTATTAGATTCTCCGGGTATCGTCTTTAGCAGGGATCAATTTGATGATAACTGTATTGGAATTTTATTAAGAAATTGTGTTAAAGTTGAGTTGCTGAGCGATCCGATCAAACCAGGTATGAAATTATGAAATTTATATTTTTATAGCAATGTTTTTGTCTAATGTTCTCAATAAATGACCTCCTTTCTTAAATTAATTGTAGTCGAGGTTATTGTCTCCCGGTGCGACCCGAAACAACTAATGAGCAGATATAATGTTCCTATGTTTAGAGATGCTCGTGAATTCCTTATACTTCTTGCTCGTCAACGAGGCAAGTTAGGACGCGGAGGAGTTCCGTGCTTAGAATCAGCCGCTAGAACCATCTTGCATGATTGGAATTCCGGAAAGATACCTTATTACACTACACCGCCGGCCACGCCAAAGAATAATTCGATAATTGATAGTACCATTGTTGCAACTTGGGGCAAAGAGTTTGATCTCGAAGGAGTTTGTAATGATGCAGAAGAGAAAGTTCTGCTGGAAGGTGTAAAAAGTAAAGGCGAATTTGGTGGTGGAGCTATAGTGATGGTATATAAAATTACTATGATTGATTTAAGTCCAGTAATTTTTTATGATAATTAAGACGTTCGCTGTTTGTTTTAGTCAGGGGAAGAACCTCCCGAGATCGAGATGGAAATGTTCGATGGAGATGAAAGCGATGAATCTCAAAGGTGATCATTAATTTTTGTGAAAAAAAAATGGAAATAACGTTAAATGATCTTATAATCGGTTTCTGATATATAGTTACATGGATGAAGACGTTCCGGAAGCAGTTGCCATAAAGTCCATCGAAGGATCATCCGGTCCGATCATCTCCCAGTTCAAATCGAGTACAAAGGGTGAAAAGTCCAAAGAAAAGCAGAATTTATTCACGGCACTGGAATTAGAGATCAATCCACAAATCGCAAAAGACCGAAAAAAGGATATCAAGAAACGAAAGAAAGCGTTAAAGAAAATTCAGAAAAGGGTTACATTTGAAGACACGGTCGATGATATGGAGGTGATTGAAAAAGAAGTTGAAGAGAAAGATGAAGACAAGGATAAAGACAAGGATGAAGACGATCGGTATGATTTTTCGGAATTTTTCGGAGGGTTACCGAGCATCGGCACCCGTAAGTATTCGGAACCTTGTCTTCATTCGCAATTTGTGTAATATTAATGATAACGTTTATTCATCTTTTTGTTCGCAAAGCTGGGGAACACGATGATGAAGAGGATTTGTAATCTTTGTTACGTTCTTCTCTTCAAACGTCCTTCCAAACTAATTTTATTTCTGGAATTTTCGTGTGATGTACAATTACCTGTAATCTTACGATTTACCTATTATTTATTTTTCTGTTTGACACGAAAATCTTAATAATGGAATACACATCAAAATTGTTCCACAACTATTCCGCGAGATTACTTGATAATCTCATTGGATCATCCTATCTCAGAAACAAATAAAACACTTGAAAATTTACTGCACGTTAAATTTTTCTTGTCTTAGTTATTAGGCTTATTAGAAAAATGATTTCTTTTTTTGTGCCATTGTGATATAGGATAGAGAGGTAAGTTGAAAGTCAATGGTATCGTTGAAAATAATAAAAAATGTAATTTCTAAAATGAATGTTTAAATTTATTATTGACTACCTAATATAAGTATATATAATATTATTTTCCATAATATTATTAATATACTGTAGATTGTAGATACACGAGCCCATTAATTTTTTTCTCTAATGTTTTTAATATGATTGGTTAACCTATTCAGATGGTGTGTGTGGAACGTACGATGCATCCATGGGATCGGCTAAACTGATCCTTCAATTAACCCGTATGTATGTAATGTATACAATGTAATTTTGAGGATCAAAAATACAATTAACAAGGCACGTGGTCGACATAATTTCGGAGACAACGTTATCATCGTATAAAGAAAAAAAAAACGGTGGTAGAGTGAAATGCCTGATATCCAATTTATTGGTGTTTTTTTATTAAATAGTGATGTGATAGAATATATGAATTGTACATTATTAAACAATGATGGCATTGAATTGATCTTGCCGTTCTCGTGATTCTGTTGTGGGAGATTCTAGATTAGTCAATTCTTTACTTTTGGGTTGTTCTATGATGGTGGTTTCCGTATTTACGGAATTATTCGTTCGTCGTTGCTGCAATTCATTTTGTGCGCTTTCGCATTCGTCCAAATCATTTTCATCAACAAAGGATCTTCGACTGACCGAACTTTAAAAGATATCAAATGTTAACAAAGTTTGATCCACGAATACGCGTAAAAAATTCAATAATAATACCACCTTCGTGTCAAAGGCCGACAAAGCACCCATAAACAATTTCTATGAAAATTTCTGAAGTCAAAAGGGTTTAGGTTTCTAGTACCATTCCTTCGTGAAAGAGGTACGCGAATCTAGATTGAGAAAAAACCGGTTAGGTTGGTCGCACACGTATCATCTTTGCAATTAAAAAAAGCGTCATCGCATACCTGTTCATGCGTTGTGAGATTCTTGCTTATTAAGTACATATGATAACCTGTTAACCCCCCAACTGACCACATTAAAAAAAATGTCAAGACAGCTAATCCGAAAGTAGATATGCTGTTAAGGTTAAAGCTGTGATTTAGGGTAACAAAAATAAAATAGAATAGATAAAATAAAAAGGATATCTGACTGGTGCATCGATTATGGAGTACACAAAATTGTTGTTTTTATCTTTCATCACTAAGAACAAGTGTACTAAGCAAAATCCCAAAACATAAAAGCACAAGACGGTGGCGGTGGCGATAAAGGTAAAAAATGTTCTATAATTCCTTCGCCCAATGCAATTATTCAGCCATATGCAGTGGTGATCCTCGTTTTCTTAATAAAACCAATAAAGAAATTTTGAATAAATTCTTGTTTGGCATAAAAAATTTTTTTAAATGAGAAAAAAAATTTTTTTCAACGAACCAACACAATTGTCACATTGTCGGCAATGGCTACATCTTGGGGGTCTATAAATTTTGCAGGTTTCACAATATTTTAGTCTAATCGTTTGCCCATTAATTTTAACCTCTTTGGGAAGTGGTATGCTACGTGTCGGAGGATATGAATCGCTGTTCGCATTATTTTCGGTATCTTCAAGGTCTTCTGTCGGTGGAGAAGGATCCAGATTACGCGGAATGATCTGTAAGAAAAAAAAAAAAAGGCGCGATGTTACATTAACGATATACCATTCTCAAACATCAGGGCATGTGATCCTCATCGGCACCTACCCCCGGATCAGACCAAGATGTTCTAAGCATGCTGGTAAGTGCCAATAAAAAGAAATAGATAAATATAAAGACCACTGCGGGTGAAACGTTACGATATAGGTATGGACACCTATAATGTAAAAAACCATGAATCAAAGATTGGAGACGAATGGATTTCTGAATGAGCAGAAAAAAAATGAACACGAACGTAAATCCCAAAAAGAGTCCGGACGGTATGATAAGTGCACAGAACGCAATTAAGAATGCTGGAAAATCTCGGCTAGTCATTATCCGTCCACCTAAAAAGAATCGATTTCTTCCGGGCCAAACTTGATAAAGACGTTTGTGCCCTTTCTCATTCGCGTTTGATATTGAAGAGGATTTTGTTATTATACGGGGCATATGTTTTGCCGCGACCGAGTACGTAGTCACATTAGATGTCTGTTTGGTCGATGTGTTTTTTGGTGAAATTAAGTGAAGTTTTGTGGATGGTGTGTTAGGTAAAGTATTATCAGAATGCCTTGTGAACGATGCAGCCATCGCAAAATCCCTGGAGTCAGTATTTTGAAGAGCTGAATTTCTATAAGTTGTGGACTCTAAGACGGGAACATTGGTGACCGGTTCCAAGACGGAATCAATGGTAGCCTGTGATATATCACCGTTTCCAGTTTGTTGACGATATGAACGTCGAATAAGAAGCGCGCTCGGGGGTCGAATAGGCGCAGCAGTCCGACCAGGTGCGCTTTCTGATAACTCGGAGCTGAAAATACTATCAAGTGACTGGTCAAGCGATGGATTAGCTGAAGTTACGACAGAGGATAGCGACGAGAGCATCGCAGACTGGTGTAAAAGAGAGACTTCTTCTTCTTCCGATTGGATGCTATGAGGTGGTAGTCCGGTTGTGGACGTGAACGAAAGTGATGTGGTTTGAGGTGTTGGTGAAGTGGTGTTTTGTGAATTGGGAGCAATAGGACTAGTCGACTTTCGTCTTATAGAAGCACTTTGCGTTATAGGCTTTCTTGGTGCAAAAAATTGTTTGGAGGGCAAAATGCCCGAAGCATGTCGCGAGGCCCGTGCCTGATTGCTCATTTCCGGCGACAACGAGTGTAAGAGATAAAACTTTATTTATCAAAAATTACGCCGAATCCCTCTGCAACTTCAACTAAAAGTATCACCTTTTCGGTTTAACCTATTATTCCCTTTAGTACTTCTTATTGTTCATCAAATATGAGCTAGAAAATTTACGTATTGCACTGTATGTATTGTTATGGTCTAAGTTAACGCAAAATGTGAAGTACAGGTTCGTTTCAGGAAACCCACCCATTAATATTCATGTCGGAAAGTCACGAGAGTTGCCCAATAATTTGATAGGTGAAATCAAAGCATTCACTTACAAAACATGTAACTAATGATATAAGTACTATACCAATAAAATCTTTGTTGTTAATAAACATACTGTATTTCAAAATGCGTAGGAATCAAACTTTTCGTACAACAGCGTGGGATCCCCTTCTTATTGTTTCTCAGGTGATTTAGGTTTCCAACATCAGCTTGGCTCTTCGAATTTGTTTACCTTCTGGAAAGCTCACACCTTTTGTTTTATTTAGATTCTCGCCCTACAGACCTTGTATTACACATCCATCTCGATCATTACACTCTTCACACTCTTGATATCAGGAAATGACATAACCTTAGATTTCCTCTTGGACTATCGAGAATTCAGAGCCGACACAGTGTTGGGATGGACCATAGGTTTCGCGTGGATCGCAAATTCAGTAGTTGGGTGAGTCGATCAAATCCTATCAACTTGTTTAATAAATTGGTCGGATTATTTACGATGTTCACTTGAATGATCTCGGCTAACCCTTTAATAATCTTTAGAATTTACCTGTTGGTACGAATCGTTCAGCGTGCAAGACTTGTCCTCGATTTTAGCTTGACACTCCACTTCTTTCACTTTCTAATCACTACCTATTACTCGGGTCATGTCCCCACAACATTTATTTGGTGGGGACTTAACGTGACGACGTGCTGTATAATGGTCTTTGGCGGCGAACTTTACTGTATGCGAAAAGAGATGGAACCAATCTTGCTGAACGAGGACATTGGAGAAGGGAATAATGCTGCTGGCACTAGCAGTGCCGCCATGAAAACAAAAACCAGTGCTGATGTAGATAGAGACAGATATGAGATGGTGCCGATGGAAGAAATAGAGGTTGGCGGGTGAACTTTATTATGTACATGAGAAGGTCTTTATATGATCTGTGGATCGAGAGAACGGACTCTACTCGACAATCCGGAGAGGTATTCAGTCACACGACATAGATGGAGTAATTTATTTTATATTAAAAAAAACTTTTTTGTATAAAGATAAATTTTAATTCTAAAAGACATTTAAAGAAATAATTCTTCCAAAAATGAGATGCCCTCCTTATGTAACCATTTAAAAAACCGAATTTCATTTCATTTTATACAGTTAATCCTCTTAGAGCATTAAAGGTAGGATTAATGTTAGTTTACATTTCCCAGCCATTCAGTCAATAGAAAAGCTATATCCAATATTTGAAGCCACAAGATTCCATATATCAAGAAATAGAAAATTAATCGACTATCTAAATAAAAGTTACGATGAAAAAAATCTATCGCAATATTAACAGTAAAGTGCCATAAATTATGAAAAAAACATGATTAATTGACATAGTTTAAAGAGCAGAAAATTAGATTTATGTTGCCGGTTCCGGGATCAGACGATTAAATAAAGTTACGGAGAACTATAATTCCTTCACGTAATTTCCTAAGTAGTGGTTTAACTTAGTACATAAATTTGGGTATTCTTGCATTGAAGGATGAAATTGAAAAAAAGATTTTATAGTCACCAGGGAACATGCCAACTTTTCCATTTAACCTTCCCTTCCACCAATCATTGACATCAGGGGTCCGTTCGACTACCTCTATCTTATCATCTTTTCGAAAAGACAAGTCTCCATCAGCTTGCGCGTCATAATCATACAAGGCGATCACATATCGCGTAAGTTTCGGCTTAGGGGCTATTGGTGGACGAGGAGGTGGCGCCTTCTTGGGCTTTGGGATTGACACCACGGGTTTGGAACTATATGCCGGAGGTTCGATTTTCGGCTTTTGACTATATTCAGGGGGTGCCTTTCTTGGTTTAGGACTTGTAACCACAGGTGTAGGTGTATATTCAGGAGGTGCATCGTCGTCCTCATCTTCATCGTAGTGATCTCTTTCGGAATGTGTGGTTCTGTAATCTGGAGAATGCGAGCGAATTCTATTAGAATTTGACGTGCGACCGGAAGATCGTGCAGAGCTGGTGTCAGAAGAACGCGAGCGCCTAGCCTCTTGGGGAACAGTCAATCTTTCTTTTAAACAAAGCAAAAAAATACAATTAACTTAATTGACTACTAATTTCATTCGAGAAACTATAGACAGATTTGCAAGGTCCAACCTTGCTTTCGTCGATCGATTATAGTTAATTCTTCAAGTAGATTATGGCTTTCTTCTTTTCTGCTTTCAAAGTGGCGTATTAAATCTGACTCGGTATCGAAGTACCCTATTTCGACTAATTGTTCAAACCGTTCCAATAATATACCGTAAATATTTAGTTGTATATTATAAAAACTTTCGACTACTGGTTCAATAAATTCAACTCGATATTCAAAGAAAAGTGGAAGCTCTTTTTTGAGTATGTCGTTATAATACTCATAATCTTGTGTTGCCTGATCGAACTGTTCTTCCAGCTGTCAAAATCAGTCATAAAAATTCTGTGAATAAACGATGGAAATACAGGTAAAATAGAAAGGCTGATATAAGTAGAACATTCGAATACCTTGAACATTTGCTTTTCATCGCTTAGCGATCTCTCCTTTTTTTCTTGAAGCTTCGTCAAGTTAAGTTTGTATCGATCGTAATCTACCTTCTTGTGATCACGCTTGGTGACTGTCTTCTTGATTGCCTTAATAATCTTCATAAATTCTACAGCTGGTTCTACGACTTTAACATCAATTGTATCCTAAAAATTTTTTTTTTTTTTTTTTTTTCATTTAATAAATTTGATCGCAATGACAATTGAATATATCTCATTAATAAAATTGTTAATCTAACCTATATGTGATATATGATTTCTCCTCTCAAAGAGTGTGGTTAACTCACCAATTCCGGTAATACTAAATCTCTAATTTCGGACATTATGCCCGAATATGTTTCTACTGCCTTCATAGATCGGGCAGGTGTTTTCACACGGCGAGTAACCGATCCTTCGGACGAACCCTCACCCTGGATGTTTTCGTATAATTCGACTAACAAATCAGCGGTGTTTGCTTGGTAATTGATCATGTCTATAACGAAAATCAATTGAGATGTAGCAAGACGAAGCGAAAAAAAAATGTTACAATGAAATCTTTAAAAATATAGAAACGTACTTGACATGGAATCTCGGAATTTGATAACATCGCTATGAAACTTTTCGGTCATTTTTGTTAATTCATTGAATTGACTGTTCACATCTTCAAACCGACGATCCTTCGTTGCTGCGAGGAAGAGTCAAAATAAAAATGGTTTCAATGCTGATTCTGGAAAATGAGCTTTCTTCTAAAAATCTACCCTTGATTTTGCACTAGCTCCACGAAAGATCTTTTTATCGAAATACCTGAACGAATTCCAGTCTTTGATAAAACTTGTTGGGGCATTCGCCCAAAAGCTTTAGACGTGCCTTTCCTACAAAGAAAGAAGATTTAGTATAGCACTGTTGTGACTGACACCATAAAAGATTCAAACATCTTGTTGAAATTACCAGCTCATTTTTTTCGATGGACACTAACTAGAGAGGATAAACGTATGCACGTATGATCACATCCCTGCGGAATATTTTTACCTGTGCTACAGGTTGCATCTGCATTTCTCTAAACGTCAACAGTGACGAAAATGGAATTTGGCGCCAACATTCTTATTCGGTTTAAAAACAATGCAATATTAATAATTACATTTATTTATATTACCATATTATTAATGACAACAAACAACAAAGCATCTTGAAGCACAAGAGATCAGAAAAACATAAGAAATTTATTCAAAAAAGAATAAATGAAAAGAAAAAAGATTCATTATGCAAGTGTTAACTTTAAAAAAAGATCTCAATAGGCAATATAAATAACTCAGGCAGAAATATTCAAATCACAAACTTATATGCTTTCTATCTATTTTGAAATAATTATATTTTAGAGATATTAACATTAAGAAAATTATACAGTGGTTATTAAAAAGAATTAGTTTTATAGATTTGTATATAGATTTGCTGAATAGATTCTTAAGAAGAAAATATAATACTTACCTTACATCTAATGCCCTTGACCAATTAAAAAAAAAAAAAATCTTAATACTATATTTAATTTGAATGTTAATATTAATAATATTAAATTTAATAAGCTTATATTAATTAAAAATTGAAATCAATATAAAAAATTAAAAAAAGATTTATTCAATATCCAAAAAATTATAAAATAAACATATAACAAAATTTTTAAAATAATACAATTATAACAAAATTATTAATATATAAATTATATACTGTATAAGCATTACTTAGATAATAATAAATATTTTATAATTAAAAATGTTTTAATAAAATAGATCTTTAGAAAATTATATTTGTATTTAATTTAACAATTAATAATTATATATGAAACAAATAAAAAGATATATAAAAATGTTTTTAAATAAGATATTAATTAAAATAATAATAATAATCCATTTTAATTTTTGTTAAAAATTAAAATAAAAATAAAAGAAATTTATTTTCTTAATAAATATTAATAATTTAGTTAATATAATAATAAATTATTTAAAATATATTTTTATGTTTTAAATCTTGTTTATATTTAAAATAATATTTAAAAAAATATTTTTTCATATAATTATAATTAATTAAAATCTTAATAATTTATTAATTAATTAAAAAAAAATAATTTTTAATAAAATATTTCAATTAACTAAAAAATATAATTAATTATAAAATAATAAACATTTTGCTTTATATAAAATATATAACAAATATATAGTCTATTATAAAAGTTTTTGAATTAATATTTTTTAATATAATTTAATAAATAATTATTTAATTTATATAAAAAACTTTAAATATATGGTTTTTTTTATAATTTAATAATAAAAATATTTAAATTTTATTAATAATTTATTAATAGTTTTATTATAAAAAATATTGTTTTAAATAATAATAATAATAATAATAAAATTTTGATTGGATTTTTATATGTAAATTTAAATTATTTTATTATTAAAATTTTTTAAAAAATTATAATTATAAAAAAAACTCTTTCTCACAACTCTTCAATTCGTAAAAAATTTCCTTTTTTGATAATGTCATGAACAGTAGACAGTAAACAGCGAGCGAGAACCTCTTCTTAAAAGAGAAGTCCATCTTAACTTTCTACAAGATGCATGTGATTGATTAACTCTCCATAGAGAGGTGGATGTTTAGAGAAGGGTAGAAACCTCTTCAACTAAACCCTTTGCTTTACTGAGTGAAGCCTATATAAGCAACCTCTAAACAAAGAAAAACCTTTTTACTTATTCAAACACTCCACCATTTTATATACTCCAAAACCACATACAAAATCAAACACAATCTTTTCTATAAGAGGCAATATTTTATTTTTTGTTTTCTACTGATGACAACTAGTGCCAGATTCATTATAATATTCTGATTAGTTCTCAGTCCTCATCAATATTATCCTTCCATTCACAAAGAAACTGAAATTAGTTCACTCCCACCTAAAGATCTACATTTCACAAACAACCAATCACACTTCATTTAATCTTATTAAATCAAAACAACACAACAACCTACCAGATTGGGAGAGTGTAAAATCAATACCCTGTACGGGTTTTGGTAGTATTAACAAAATAAACCTAAATCAGAAAATACCATACAACTCTGTCTTACATCTAAACACAAACTTGAAATCAATACTCTATACAACTCTGTCTTATGTCTAAACACAAACTTGAAATCAATACTCTTAATAGCCGAAAAATTACTACCAATCAAAAAACTCTAAATCCGATTACCAAACTACTCATGCCTATCATTTACCCTAACCATAATAGCATCATAACAAATACTATAATAATGGAGTTGCACCCTATGTTGCCCTGCTCACAAAATAACTAATGCTTGACTGGAGTGAGTAATTTAAGTTTGTGACTTATTAAAGGTGGCAGCAGGCTTAAGGTAGAGCCAATGCCAATACTTATTAAATTATTATCACTAATAATTTACCAGTTACACCTAGTAAGGAAGGATTATTATGGTAACATTTTCTTCTATAAATTCGAATTTTTTTTTCTCTTTTATATTCTTTAATATGGAGAGAATTATCTCTCCATTTACAGATAGATAATTCCTTCTACTTTTTCCAACTAGTGTTTTGTAGAATATATCTATCTTAAAATAGCATAGGCCAATGTTTATAGCAACATACCTCAATGTATCCCTATTGTTATAAATTTTATACTTAGTTAACTTTGTAAAAATTGAATCAACAATTAATAAAGATCACAATTTGAGACGTGCCTCACAAAAAAAAAAAAAAAAAAATTTTTTAAAAAATCAAAAAAACTCATTTTTATTTTCTTTTAATACTTGAAAATTTTCTTTTTAAAAAATTTTTGGGTTGTTTATTTTTTTTATCTTTTTCTTTCTCTTTACTTTCTTTTTCCTATTTCTTTATTTTTTTGTTTTTCTTCTATATACTTTTTTATATTTTATATTTTTTTTTTTTTTTTTTTTCTTCTTGTCAAAGTTAGATTTTCCTTTTTTTTGAAAATTTTTTTCTTTAGACTTTTTTTTCTTTTAAAAACTTCACTTTCACAATATTACTTTTTTGATCAGTTGACTTTTTTTCCTCAAAAATCATATCAAGAAGTAGTAACTTTTTTTAAAATATAAGTTTTAAAAAATTTCTTTTTTTTAATAACCCTTTAAAAAAAAGACAAATGATTTATCCTCTTTAAAAGATCAATATAGTTATTATTATTAAATTTGATATTATTTACTAATTGATAATTAGATTAAATATATTTAGAAAATTTCTGTACAATTATTATTACTTGAAAGTATTTAAAGGATTATACTGTAAAACACTAGTCCAAATTGAATTATTTGGCTGCTGAATTACAGCTGATTAAATTCAAATTTATTAATAAAAGTTTATACCGAAGTTTTGTTGTTTGGTCCAATTTATGCCACTCG